GCTCCAGTGTCTTTGTAATTGTCTTGACGATCAATTTCTATTTGTCTTTGGCGTTCTGCTTCTATTTGTCTCTGACGGTCCAACTCAAGCTGCCTTTGTCGTTCCATCTCCACCTGCCGCTGACGTTCAAGTTCTCTTTGCCTTTCCAATTCTTGTTGCCTTTCAAGCTCTTGTTGATGCTCCATTTCTAGCTGTCTTTTATGTTCTAATTCCACTTCTCGCTGCCTTTCTAATTCTATTTCGCGCTGCCTTTCTAACTCTTTCTCCTGTGGTTCACGCTGCCTCTGTTCTCTCTCCCGTTGTTCATGTTGCATTCTCATAGATGCCCTATCACGACTACTCCTAAAATCTGGATCTGATCGTGTCACACTATCACTCAATCGTCTCTCTGAAAGGTATCTAGAATTAGGTGTATCACTGTGTGCAGAAGGAGGCCTTTCAGACATCCCTTCAACAGGACGTCGACCCTTTTCTAAATCTGATGAATGTCTATCATATCGTCTTGAATGTTGTTCTGCATAGCTTCGTTCATTATCAGTATATATCCTATCATCAACCCTTTCATCTGCATAGCCACGCTCCGAATCAGAATACCTATCTTGATCCGGATATCTAAGTCTGTCTCGGTCTGGTGTATAAGACCTGCCTCTTTCCGGAGGAAATCTATCCTTATCCAGTCGCCTTCCCCTGTCATCAGGGTAACGATCTGGATGCCTATACCTATCACGACTACGTTCCTTCGAGTTTATTGGATATTGCCTATCAGAATGATCAGAATAATAATGTACATCATCTGGAGGATGTCTGGAAGATGACCTTCGATGACTACGAGTTCTTTCGTCATATTCCCGCTGTGTGTTAATATCTCCATGTGACCCCCTCCAATGATCAGGTCGACGAGGGACACCACGCATATCTCGTGAAATTTGATTATCTAATGTTCTTTCTCGCCGTGTTTCATCTTTGTTCATGGAATATTGTCGCTTTAATTCCCGGCCACGAGGACCTGGTGGTGGATGAGCACCTTTGGGTATATTTTCCTTGTCACTTCCCCTTGACCCATCTGCATTTACTCGTTTCTGTGCTTCTTGCTCCTTAGTACTGACTTGAGAAGCAGTTTCAGTTCCAGAATCTGGCGACTTCCCTTTTTCTGGGCCAAGCCACTTCCCACTCTTTATAAGAATCTCTTGTTTCTTCCTACATATATTGCATACCCAGAGTACCTGCAAAAATATTGGAATATTGATTACTAGCCTTGTAATGTGATAATGTTTCACAAAATAGATCCATGTCAAATAAATTTAGCACACTCTTAATCTGTACATGCTAAATTTGAAAAGAATGAATAACACTTTCTAATGCTAGTTATGCAAATGATGTTATAATAAAATCCAATGACAACAGATTCTAATAATGATTAGGTAAGAGTTAAAAGACTTTGTTTCACCAAGAGAGAGTAGAAGTCACTGTTTTGATTGGAAGGTTGTGGTGTATCAGCTAATGTGACTAGATATGGCCAACAGCAGTGCATATGTAAGCATGGGTAAGGTACGGTCAAGATGAGCGTTCAATTTAAAATTAGGAAGAAATAGAGTACAAGTTTATACCAATACTAGAATGCAAAACAATAGCCATATACTTTTTCAACCAGTCACACATACACAGAAATGACAGAACTATCACCTAGTCAACCAGCCATGTATACAGACATGATAGGAAGACTATACACCTTGTCAACCAGCCATGTATACAGACATGATAGGAGGACTATACACCTTGTCAACCAGCCATGTATACAGACATGACAGGACTATACACCTTGTCAACCAGCCATAATATACAGACATGACAGGACTATACACCTTGTCAACC